CTTAAGCAGTCTTTAACCTTCATGAATATAGGTAGATTGCACGTATGTACCATAGAATTTCATTTTTTCAGCCAATGTTTCCTCAATAATAACACAGTTAAGAAAGCTGTGGAATTATTAGTAGGTGGGACCTGAAAATAGAATAAATTATGATATCTAGATTTAAGTTGGGATAACATTAGCTTCAAACACTTGAGCTCTTTTCACCTTCCACAATGATTTGAGTTCAAAGATTGGATCTGTGCCATGTTCCCTTTTCCTCAGTATCATCTAAGTGGCTTTACAACATGAACCCTTCAATTTTTGCTGCCATTAGCCTTGCTGATGTTATTGCAGCCATGAGCTATAGATTATTTTCTGTTCTTCAGGAAACATTCTGTACACCAATGAGAGGACAGCCAAGAAAACAATTGCAAGACAAAAACAAAACAAAACAATAAAGAATGTTTATTAGAAAAACCAAGACAAAGAGTGTGATTACACAGCTGTAATTGCAATAACCTGTTAGGTCATGATTAGTAAATGTTGTAACTCATATTCCTTCATACAACTGTGTGTGTGTGTGTGTGTGTGTGTGTGTGTGTGTGTGTTATGCATGTTTGTGTGTAGTGCTGGATGTCCTTGAACTATCTCTGTAGATCAAGTTAGCAATGAACTCATCAACATCAACCTGTCTCTTCCTCCTTACTCTGGGATTAAAGGATTGTGCAACTATGTCCTGGCTAACATTTATTTAACCAGCTTCACATAAGAACCAAATACAAGGTTCCTATATGATGATGTGCCTTTCTTTGGATCAGAAACTTTTTGGTGGTTCACTAGGAGAGTTGCACTTTTGGTTCACAGACCACCATGCCAATGACACCTATGACAAGATTCAAAGAAGATGATGTACAGGGTGTAACTTCAGTTGCAGGCAGTGTCATGTTAGTTCACAGATGAAGTGGTATTTCTTACAACCTCCAGGCTGTGGATTTGATATGGCACAAGGCCTCTTGAAGGAGAATACTGTGGACTCTTTAGCAGTCATAGTGCAACTGGCATTTCAAGCTGGAAGATATTTCTCAAGATATCTGTGAAATTGCTGAAGCATTCTGGATCCACAATTACATTCCTCTTATAGACAGGGAACCCACTGAATGACAACACCTCACAAATGTGTGAAATGACAAGTGTTTGTCAGTTGTAGATCCAAGGGACATATTACTCAGCAGCTTATTGAAAGAAAAGCTATAGCAAACATTTGCTTTCCATAAAATTCTCTTAATAACATTAACCTCAGATAGCTTTATTCAAACTTTCTTTAAATCTTGAGTCTGAATACACCCATTTGATGTCTCTCTGCATTTCTAGATTCTTTTTACTACACCATTAAATTTATCCCACACTCTAACACTTCATTCATTGGAAAAACCCAATAGTGTGGCATGACTGTCATACTTGTGACAGTGACTCTATTCATGTACCATATTTGCTGTTCTTCAGTATGTTCCTCATTCAGACACGTCATGTTGAACTGTGTGAAAACTTGAAATATACTTTCTCACTTTCTGTTATTTTTCTTCTTATTTGACCACTTGTAAATAAAGTTTCAGACACTGCACAGCACCTCAACCTCAACTTCCCTGATTCCTCAAGCTGCTCTCCCACTCAGACCTCTAGCCACAAACCTGTGTTTTGGCTCTCAGTCTCCAAGTTTAAAATGATTGTCAGTGTATGTTTTGCAGATGTTGTGAATATCATCATTACATAAAGCAAGTTCTAAGAAGAACATAGAACAAGGTAATTATTTTCACCTACTTATCAGAGTGATAAGAGAAAATGATCAGTGGATGGGTTTGGTAGTATTGTCAATAATTTTGATTCCTTTTCGTTTGTTTTTTGAGATAGGCTTTCTCTGTATTGCTTTGCCACATGTCCTGAAACTCACTCTGTAGAACAGGCTGGCCTTGAACTCACAGAGACCCACATGCCTCTGCTTCCCAAGTGCTGGGATTGAAGGCATGTGCCACAAATGCCCAGCTTCATTTTTGTTCCTTTTGTGCCTGTTAAGGTGTTGATCTGTAGTTTCCCTTTAAAATTGTTGCTTTTCATGACATCTTATGGCAGAAGATTTGGGGTTGGGTTGTGAAAATACAAAATACAACAGCTTGCTTGGTTTTTCTGATAGAGGACATGCTTGCTTTCTAGACAGATCAACTGGATCAGTTATAATATGTGAGTTCACAGCAATTTAGACTAGAGACCACATCAGAAGAATATTGGGAATTATGTCAGCTGCCTCTGTCTATTTTATGGAACTGTAATTTCTAGATAGGTTTTACACTTACATAACATTTGGGATTTTCATATAATTATTAAACTTCTATACTACCAAAAGGTCTTTGTGTCATTATTTTATAGGCCTATCCTACAAACTGTCTCATAACTAGTTATGTGTGTATAGCTATAAACATAGTATATGCAGGGTCTCAATGCACCCTCATTTCATGCATGCACTGTGTTCGAAATCCATATTGATGAGAATGGTATTCACAATTCATACCCACTTTCTAATATGAGAAATTGCATTCCATTGTGACCATAGTAGCCACTTTACTCATGTATGGATTCTCTTCTTTGTATCTATTTTATCATCACATAGAAATTTTTCCTCCTTTAAAACACGACTCTATTTATAAAACAGCACAGACGTTTCAAGATGGAATACCAGACTATCTCCCCCTTAATGTACCAATTATACATTATTTACTTACTAAATTTCACCGATTTTTATTGCAATAATCAAATCCTTTACCCTGTCAGAATCCCAAGTCTCCAAATAACTGAAATATTTTGCATTGTGAGACAGATTAACTGATTCTCTCTAGATGACAGACTAGCCTAAAGATCTATACTGACTGAGACCTATATTAATTTCAAATATATAGAGATGTAAAGATTTAACGCCTGCTCCTTTTTTTGAATAGGAACTGTAATTATTTTCAAGACCATGAAATTTTGAAATTATTTCTCAAGTCTTCAACATATTTGCTTGGAATCATAAGATGCTTAAAAGACAAACAAAGGTGTTTACTATTCAGGGAAATCCTGGAAACACAAATACTCTAATGTTGATTATTTCTTTAATCGCTGTTTTCAATCCTGGCTGTGGGTACCTGCAATTGAAAGTACTCTTCACTTGAGGATCTCCAAAAAATTCAAACATTTAAAGCCAAGAAAAAGCAAAATTAACACATACTGATTGATATGGAAATGTGAGTTTTATTTTATATACCTGCAGAAGAATATTTACCCCTACTTCTGAAATTCACATTGAACCGGTGTTCTAATGAATTTGTTCATGAATGTCATAAAGACTGTTTCACAAGTCCAACTCCAGTCAGGTTCTGAGCCACATGACAAAGGTGTGAAGCCTGTGAATACTGAAGAGTATGATCACTGGTTGTCTCTCAAACACATGGCATCGAGTAACTCAATGTGTTTTTGTTTATACAAGTTCTAATGCATTTCAAGCATGAGCTGTTTCAATACAATTTCTCTATAATCTTTTGCCAAGACTCATTGACATTTACCCATTTCAGTTTCTTTTTCATGTCCCCACTCCCTTGGAATCATTGACCTTTATCCCATAGTATTAACTTTTCTATTGCAAGCCAGGCACATCTCATAAATGTTGTGTTCTAGACAGCAGCAAACATGCAGTTATGAAAAACCAGTATTCAAGCACACTGAATGGTCCTTAACAATGTGATACTTATATAGTTTGTAATCAGCTGAAGGTATGCTATGACATCTAGGATATTATTTGCAGCTGTAAGTCATTTTATATAAAAAAACCATATATCACTTTTATGGGGACAACCACTGTAATACTATTCTTTATAAATTCTCATAATGGGAATGAGTAACTTGTACCCTATCTTTTTGGACTAAGTCCAGTTTTCCTGGCAATTTCCAACTGGGAGTTTTAAGAGAGATGTCTGATATTTCCTATCCTTTATACTTTCCTTATATATTGCTAAAATTTTTAATGACATCATTTAAGAAGCTGTCTCTGACATTCTTAAGTTCTTTGGAATATACTTATCTTTTTGTTTTAGAATAGTTAAGTAAGGAGGAATCATCAACCTAGGTGAGTTCCTCTTGCTTACTCAGAATGATGACAAAGGCTGCCAGTAGTTATTGGAGAAATTGGATTTTGTGAATGACAGCAGAAAGGCTTATTTTTTTGCAGAAAGTTTTAGAAAAATTATCAGCTTTTGTTGCCAGTAAACTTAGATAAAATCACAACTGACACAGGAAAACTAAGAACTACCATAAGACTAAGCTTAGCAAAAGTTATAGAGACTTGAAGCCCATGAGTTCACTAGGACCAGCACAGAGGTCTACAGTATCTCTTCCAGAGATCCTTGACAGCGGGATTTGATTCTCCAAAGGACCTTCCATGAAGGAGCTCCATTCACAAAATATTTGTGCTTCATTTCCTGGGGTGACAACAAAGCTTTCTCCAGGCAGTAGTAAGAAAAATGTGGGAAAGTAAATAAATATACATACTCTATGCCTTTGTAAAATTATCTTACAACACATGCACAATTATTTTTATTGTTTCCTCCTGGAAAAGTTTTTCATTGACTATATTACTGAGTCACTCAGTCTCCAGAGCTGATAATAATGTATCGAAGTCTAAGTTTTTCGATTTGCTACAAGAAAGTGGATATATGATTGGTAAAAAATGGTACTATTTTCTCACAAAAGTACAGCGCATTTCATTGACCTGTGCTATGACAATATAAAATAAATAGTTGTTTCAAAAGTATAAAACCCAAACTTTAAGTAGCTTCCCTTAGAAAGACAAGTGACAATGACATTAGTTTTATGTTTATGTTTTATATAAAAAAGAGTCTGTAACGTAGATACTAAGGGAAAGAGACCATGCAATCATTACAGATGTGGTAAAACTACAG